TGGATGAGACCAGAGTGTGTGCCAGGACCAGGAGCTAAGAAATGTTACTGGGTGCTATAGTTCAAGTACAGCCCATCCCAGTCAACTGAAGCTCCACGATAAACATGCTCTGATACAATAAGAGTGTCCATGACATTGTAAAGCTTATCTGTTCAGAAACTTAAGCTTTTAACTATGGGGTGATTTTCCTGTATGGATCACGAAATGATCCATCACCTCTAAGCTGGGATGCAGCTGGACAGCAACAATAGAGCTGTGTAGCTGTGCTGGCTCTCTGCTGACAAATGATACAAAGTGCATACTGTACTCTTTAATTCATGTTTGCTCTAAGTGGACCATATATTTCTGCAGCCTTTCCTCCCTGAAATAAATAGATGGTAATATGCTTATATATATATATTAAAATTACTTTAAGAATTGTATTAAATGAAGCGCTCGTGTTCCGTTGCTTCCTCTGACAAGAGAACACGTGCTAATCAGGTCACTTAATGCACTGAAGTGAAGAGCATGATAAAAAGTCTAAGCAGATTTTCCCTATGACTAACATAGAACAGGGTAATGGGCATAGCATTTATGTCCAATGATTTTAGGTAGCAAAGATAAAATGCTTGAAGAACACCATTTTCATTTTCTGTGGAAGAAATATAGCATTTTCCTTTCCTTCTCACACACCAGAATTACATTCTATAATAAATAATAAAATGGAAATATAATTATTCTAAGGGGTTAGTTTTAAAGAGGCTTTCGAGGGTAGAGGGAGGGGGACTTTTTGTAGTCATTTATAGTAGATTTGAGTTATGCAACAAAAAGCTATAAAAGCTTTGTTGTTGATTTCAGTGTGCTCATGAGCTGGGATTAATGTTCTTTGTGCTTGCTGATGTAGACAAACATGCAGTAGTTCTAAATTTATACCACACGTAGTGGAATCAAGCTTGCCTTTTCATTTAAATGCCTTTATGAACAGGAGGCATTTTTTATATCTAATGACTCCTAAAATGGCACACACTGATGGGTGAGACTAGAAAAATAACAAGATAAATAAAGAAGATACTTAGCTACAGTCTGTCTATAGCAATTGTAAACATCAATTCTGTTGAGACCAAGCAGAGTTAACTTTTGTGATTTAGATACAGGGGATTTGTTTCAGTGGCTCTATATGTGTAGATGCAGACATATACATTTGTGTATGTGACATTGTGACCAGGCACTTTGACTATTTCTTTTGCTGAGAGAGTTTACAGAGTCTGCATTCAGAAAATTAAAAGGCACTGTTTGAAGGAATATATACAAACACTGACAGAAACTGATATGCCACAAAACTGTGGTGATAATGCTGTTTTAAAATGTGCACTAGTGGGGACACAGAGCTAATTTCCATAACTACTGCAGCATCTTATGCCTCTAAGAGGAATGATTGTGGAATACAAAGTGGAAGATGCTTACTAAGTGCATCGGTGAAAAAAAGGCAATATTTTATATAAGGTATGAAAAGAAAGCCTTTGGAAAGATGCTTAAGGTACAACACTTCCTTATCATTTTTGTAATTTGAATTATGAAAAAACCCAATAACCAACTGAAAACTCAACCTTTGGACACAAGTACTGTCTTTGAAAATGGCATGAGAGCATAGATAATCACATAAATTTATACAGAGTTTCTCAGATCATAGTAGTTCTTTGTCATCGTGTAGATGAAATTCTTTGGAACTATTTAGGAAAAATATTCAAAATGCCTGTTTCATTTTACTAATGCAGAAGACAGAGATGCATCTGTGCTAAGTTCTTTTTTAGTCCTCACAATACAAAACAAGTTTACCTAAGTTTAAATCTGGAAGAAATTATACTTCTATTTAAATGCTTATTATATAAATGGCCACCCTATCATCCTTGCTATGCAAGAAAGGGGATCTGTGAAATTGATGTAATGACAAAACTAGCCAGGCAAGGATCTGTTAAAGGCAGAAAGCAAAATGCAGAGGAAATAGGTGCAGTGTAGCTGCCTAATCCAAGAGGTAGCTTATTTGGACTAAAGTATTACACATAATCAGCTACTTATATAACCAGTACCTATACCTTTTGCTTCCTTTCTAAAAGGAAAAAATAACGGTTATAATGGCAATGGATTATGGGAGCTCTAGGGTCATGTGACTTCTGTTGCTGAGGAGAGGAGAGTCTGGAGCTCACATCCTGGGTGACTCTCTTCACATGCTCATTTGGCTGCCTTTTAAAGCGTCTGTTAGCACAGCAAAGTGTGCTTCCTTCTTAGTTTGTCAGTGCAGGACTGGAAGGCCTTTCACATACACTCCAGAAAGAGCTCTGAACAAGTTGCTGGTTTTCAGTGGATGTCAGTGTGTTTATACTGCATGCATCAACAAAAAGAACTACTGCCATGGGTGGCAGATGAAATGCTTTAAAAATGTCAGAGGTATCTTCATGTTGGCCTGAGTGCACTATTTTGTACAATTTATGATTACAAAAAAGAATCTGAAGAGATTAAAGGAAGTGAATGTAAAAAATGAGATGTGCTTTATTAAAATTGAAGTGTTTCAACTGCTGTAAACTGCATCCAACTATTAAAAATATATTATAATCTGCAGATGCTGTGACCAGTTCCCTGGGGAGCCTGTTGCAGTACCTAACCATCCTCTGAGTCAAGAACCTTTTCCTAATATCCAGCATAAACCTTCCCTGACACAACTTCAGGTCATTCTCCTGGGTCCTGTCACTGGTCACCACAGAGAAAAGATCAATGTCTGCCCCTCCACCTCAAAAGGAAATTGTAGACTACAAGGAAGTCTCCCCTCAGTCTCCTCTTCTCCACGCTGAACACACGAAGTGACCTCAGCCACTCCTCACATGGCTTCCCGTCAAGGCCCTTCACCACCTTTGTTGCCCTGTTTTGGATGCTCTCTAATAGTTTAATATCTTTTTTATGTTGTAACACCCAAAACTGCACACAATATTCAAGGTGAGACTGCCCCAGTGCGGAGCAGAGCAGGATAATCCCCTCCCTCGACCGGCTGGCGATGCTTTGCCTGATGCCCCTCAGGACATGGTTGGCCCTCCTGGCTGCCAGGGCACTGCTGACTCATATTCACCTTGCTGTTGACCAGGACCCCCAGGTCCTTTTCCGCAGCACTGCTCTCCAGCCTCTCATTCCTCAGTCTGTACAAACATCCAGGGTTGTCCCATTCCAGGTGCAGAATCTTTTTGGGCACTGGAACATGCTCCCCAGTGAAGTGGTCATGGCACCAAGCCTGACAGATTTCAGGAAGTGTTTGGATGATACTCTCAGGCACGTGGTGTGACTCTTGGGGATGTCCTGTGCAGAGCTAAGGATTGGACCTGATGATCCTTGTGGGTTCCTTCCAACTCATCATATTCTGTGATTCTGTGATTCTGTGATTATATGAGTGGGTTAAAAGAATAGAATAATTGTTGAAATATTATTTCTTTATAACACAAGAAGCTTGAAGTGCACTGAAGTTCAGTTACATTTGTATTAGGACGTACGTTTAAGAAAAAGTGATGTGATCAGTGCTAAGAGCTAGTGTCTGTGCAGCAGGAAAATCAGAGGGATTATATCAGATCAACAGTAGTCTGGCCCAGTGACTGAATGTCCATTAGTGTTTGGAGGGTGTGAGTTGAGTTGCTGGAGTACTTCTTTCAGTTTCATCCATCACATACAGGTTGTGTACTCCAAGATGCCTCTGTGATTTGAGCCAAAGTGCAGTACTTAATCCTTTCAAAGCATGCTCCTAAATTAAAGTACTAATATAGATGCATCCTTTAAGTCCCTGTTGCCACCAGTAAATGCAGTAACTCTAACCAGCCCAAAGTTAAAAAAAATACTTATATGTGATCAGGGCTTGTTTAGGCACATATCACTTGGCTTCAATTGCTTTTACTTGGAACCAAAGCAGAGAAACATGCTTACACAAGCACACCAGAATGCTTTGCACTTAGGGATTCTGGCTCTGATAAGGTCAGTATCACTATATCTTTACAGTTGGTACTAAGTGTCACAGCACCTATATGAACTGCAATGAAACCTCTGTGGATGTATAATGGCTTCATAGGTGTTGTAATGAAAAACATTTGATTTAACCCTGTAAAATGAAAAATTACACGTGTTTCTGTACCTTTGCAAATTAGTGACTAAAATCACAACTGGAGATGTTTTTTCTCTGACTGCATTGCTGGAATCAGCTGTACAATAGAATTTATACCTTGCACCACATGAAATGAAAACTCCTAGGGATCCTAAAAACTAGCTGTGAGATGAGCTCTCTAGGGAACAAATAATCACCTCATTGACAGTACTGAGCTGCATTAATATGCACCAAAAGTGATGCTAGCAGTTTCTAGCAGAAACAGGAGAGCAAATTATGGTATTTCTTTTACTCACATCCTGCAGGAGTCTCTTCATTGACAAATAAAGTGGATCTTATTAAGCTGAGACATACCTCTTTGAACTAGACTAACTCTAGCATTGTGTGCACATATTTCAGTTTCCTCATGAGGAATATAAAAAGAGAGTTGCCCTTTTTTTTTTCTATGTGCTTTTTTCCTCTTATGAATAAGACTATAACAAGGTACTTGTGGGGGAATGCAAAGACTATGAACGACTCTAGAAGCGGGTCCATCACAGCGACAGCTCTCCGGGATCGAGCGGAGTGGAAAAACACCAACTACTTGCATTTTTATTGTGTGGTTTTCCCCTGAATTATGTAATTCCTCTTACCCATGCAGACTCCCTGTACAGCGCCATTACCCACGCAGTCCCCCTGTGCAGTGCCATGTTGTGTCCCCTCCCCAGACTGGTCCCTGCCCCTGCACAAACATTATTGGTTGTCTCATCTTCTCCCCAAACCCTGGTTTGTTACAGGACTTTGGTCCTCCTGTATCCCCCATTGGTTAGCAGAGCCCTCAAGCCACTCCCTTTCCCCCGGACCTTTGCCCAGTCGCATTCCTCTTTCTAAGCCCTCCCCTGGAGACCTTAAAAGCCCGCGGGAGTTTCAAATAAACAGCTTTTCACCGCTGGAATCCAAAGAGACTTGTGGCTCGTTCCTCCTAGTGAAGGGGGATCGTGCTACTGAAACCCTCTCTGAGAAGCTGCGAGCGAGGAGTCACTAGCAATCAGCTCTGTTAGGTACTCTACTTTAGACAAATCTAAAAATTGATATTTCTTCTAGCTTTTCTTTTTTCTAGGCAGACAGAAAAAAGAAGGGATAGGCTTAGGTTTAACTAGTCAGTAGGTTTAAAAAGAAATGGCTTATTATGAAGACATATATATATATATATATATGTAAAATAAATTTCTCATTGTTTGTGGTTTTGTTTTGGAAGGTTTTTTTGTCACCTTTGCTTTTTTATAGGAGGAAACATTCATCTTCATTGGGAAATCATACATTTTCCAGGTGTATAACTCAACAAAGTGGCTGCTATTTTTTAGTGCATATTTTAAAGACAACTTCAAGGTGAAATGCACAGAAAACAAGCTGTGCTATAGTGGTGTGTTTTGATGCTCACATAGCCTGAGCCCTGATTTACTGCTACTTCCTTTCTGGCAACCAATGTTACATCACTGATGTGGTATCCCTTAGTGTTTTGCCTGGTTTCCATTGGTTCTTGACTTGACTTTATGCTGCGATGGAACCAAAAGGCAGATCAGAAGTGCATTGTGATAGATGTTGCTGTATGGAGACAAAGCACAAAGGTGGGGCTACATAAAGAAAGAGAAGTATCTAAAAGTCTTAGGAAGCTCTATTTTGTTATATATTTGGGAGAAAACAGGCATGATTTAGAACAAAACCATTTGTAGAAGGGAAAGTTGTAAATAAGCCATTATGTGGCCTTCCTCAACTGCCTGTACACCAGTGTGCAGAGCTTGGTTAAGCTCTATATTCTGTATATTCTGAGCTTGGTTAGAATATAGAGCTTGGTTAAGCTCTATATTCTATATATTCTCTATTATATAGATAAGAATATATCTATTAATGATTTATGGAAGTCTATGCACTTCCATAAGCCTGTAAAAAAGATCAAAATCAAAAAGATTGGGTGCAGTACTAAGCACAATTTAGACACTTCCATGAATGGTTACAGCCTATCTAGGAAAATAAGGAAAAGAATGTAAACCCTGTGTTAGAGACCTCTCCCATGAAAGTGGAAATGTGTTTATCAAGACCTTCTGATGACTGGTATTGGGGATATTGTGCTGGGGATATGCTACAGGCCACGTGACCAAGAGGAGATGAGGATAGCTAAAAACTAACAGAAAGTTGCTGCCTATACATCCTTACCTTTGTGTGGGATTTTAAACATCCAGACATTCTCTGTCTGGAAGGGTAGCAATATGCAAGCAATTCAAGAAGCTACTGCACTGCATATTGGCTGCTTCCCAGTGCAGATGCTGGAGGGATCAGACATTATAATGGTGTACACGACCTACTGTTCACATGTCTCTCAGGTTAGAGTCTGAAGGAAAGCTGGAAAGACACACAGCAGAGTTGAGACTCTGGCTTTCAGGAAAGCAGATTTTGATCTGTTTTGGCAATTCCTTTGCCCAAGTTTCAAACTGTTAGGCAGAATTTCTGCTGGAAGCTGCCATGAAAGAAAAAAGTTCATAAGCAAAATGGTTGTTTTTCAATGAAAACTTACTCAGAGTTCAAAAATTAACTCTATTTCATTTGCACAGGAAGATGAGAAGTTTTGGCAGAAGAGTCACTTGGCTAGGTAGGATGCTTCTGGATGAACTGAAACACAAGAACACACAAGAAGTGGAAACTAGGCAACAAAGGAGGAATACAAACAGAATTGCTTGAGCACTTGGAGCAAAATCAGAAAGACCAAAACCCAGCTGCAGATAAAAGTACTGAGGAACATAAGGGGTAAGCAGGAGAATATGCTAGAATCAGTGGGATATTCAGGAAAAATGTGGGTCTATTGATGAGTGTAGGAAAAACAGATGGTACAGAAAAGGCTGAATGACTCCATGTCTCTTTTTGCCTCTGTTTTCACAAGCAAAATTTTCAGTACCAGCAAAACTGGAGGTTTTGGGGACAACATGGGATAGAGAAGCAACGGGTTAGGGACTGCTTAGATAAATTGAATGTATTCAAAACCTTGGACCATATTATATTCACCTGAGGGCACGGAAAGGTTGACTGAGGTGATGCAATTAGATAAGGTTGCTGAATTTAGTTCTGCTAATGATTTTCTGGCTGTACAGCTGTTGCCAGGAATGCTTGGATTGACATTTACAGCCAAGGACAAGGCTGATAGTCCACACTAGAACAAATGGCCAATGATAAAATATTAGGCTAACCATATAGCTTAGGCGAGGGGTTTCCAGAGAAGAAAGAAGTATATACTGCAGAATGCAAGAAATAAGAGCATTGTGAGAAGCCTTACATACTGCCAGAAAAAAAAAGAAAAAAAAATTTTGTTTGATTGTGTTTGGCCTATTAATTTTAAAGGATGTGCTTTGTGCTGAATATTCTCATGAGGCCAGCAGCTGAATGCTTCCTCAGTAACTATCTCTCCGTGAATAAAGTGTTATGAGTTTCTATCTTGGCCTTTCTGTAGACCAGCAAAAACACCTGGTGCCCTAACTAACTGCTCATGGGATTATTATTTTCTTAACAAGAAAGCATTTTTCTCCCTGAAATCGTCACTAAAACTTGGTCTGGCAATCTAGCCAGTCAAGACTAAAGTCCTAAAGTACTTTTGACTGCTGCATTCATATTGGTGTCTTCCAATTAATTTTGGAAATTTAGACTATAGTGCTAATGCACCATCAGCTTCAGTGATGCAGAGTCCATATCTTGCTTGCTTTCAGGATTATCGGATCCTATCTGACATACAACTTGTCAGGAGTGCTGAAATGCCTATGATAGTGTATTCGTGACTTTAACTGAAGGACCTGCCATCAGCTATTTGGTTTGACCACGTCCCTACTACTCTTTCATAGCTATTGATCTAAGTTAGTGATAATGGATTTTGATTGTGTAAACACCTGGGATTTTCTCAAATTGGACTAGAACAAGAGAATTTATGCATGAAATAAAATATCTGCTATCGCTATTTATTGAATCAGTCAGAGAATATAAGAAAAAAAAAGTGAGGTAGTTGACCAATTACACAGTGCAGATAGGATGAAACTGGTTTTCCTTGATTGCAGGAAAAAAAATTAAATTTATTGGAAACACGGTAAGAGTATTTGCCCAAAACTCCATGTTTGCTGGCTTTGACTGTTAGACTCTCTTTCCTAGATTTTGGTTGGGGAGGAATATTAATATATTGTCCTCTAAGTGCTATATTATTCTCTAAGTGTTAGTCATGGTGCTATTTCCTTCTATCTCAATAACAAAGAATATATATATTTCCTTTTAGGACTACAGAGCATGTTCCATATCAGATAATAATTTCACTGTAGGTGAAATGTGAATCTTAAACTCCTAGAGCAAGTTTCTGAAGCAAACCTCTCTATTTTTCTCATTTTTCTAAATATTTTTCTGAAAGTGAGACCATGTTGGTCTTGGACATGGTAATGCCTGTAGTGATTTCATTGTTTTGTAGTGGAGGGCATGAAAGCAGAGACAACTACAGGCTTATTAGAGAGTAGGCAGTAGAAGCAGAATAACAAAGAAGAGAGAGAGAGATTTCTGAAGGAAAGTGTCAGCGTCTAAAAATGCAAACCATCATTCAGGCGATAGGTACCATTTTCCTTTCTGCCTTTTCTGTTTCTCACTTTCTCTTCATTCTTGTGTCTACTCCTTTGCTTCCTGCTCTGTGCCTTCACTTGCTGCATGGAGTGCACTGTAAAAAGAACAGTCTATATTCTAGTTTATGATATGTGCTAAAGGACTTAGCATTCATTTTCCACCTAAATTCCAACAAGGCTCATCAATTAAATCAATGTCCTACAAGATTCGAGGAAAGACATATCTAGTTCAAAAACACAGTTGGAGGAATTTACATCCATGTTACAACCTAATAGTAGTATTTCCCCTCTAGGGTTGGGATACAAATCTGTGTTGTCTCTCTTTTAAGACAGTTCCATGACCATTAGGGAATCCCTACACTGCTTTCTCATGGTTGTGTTAATACTTTTATTTTTGCAGCTGCTTAGTGAACTCAAGTAGGGAACAGACCCACCTAGCAAACAGCCCAAAATTTGGCTATTTAAAGCTTCCCTTTCTGCTTCAAATATAGCTGTACAGATACATAGTCCAGTGAAGAAGAAAAGACAATATGGGAATGAGAACCTGGCGGCATGGAAAAGGGGGTTCAAGCTTAATTTTAATGTCCAGCTATGACCTCAGCCCTTCTGGATCTAGTCTTTAGTTGTTTTCTCCATTTTAGCTATATTATAATTGTGTCTACCAGCAGCACTCTGAAGGCAATACAGTATCAATTAAATATTTCTAATTAAGAAGTATCTAAAAAATAATTGTAACATTCCAAAAAGCAACATTCTAAAAAGCAACATGCGACTGATCCTAAACAGATAATTTGAATATCTTGAAGAACTGTTGGCACCAGTGCAGATATTTTGTCCAGCTCACAGCACCTTTTATCTGTTTCATGAAATACACGTAGGTCATCCAGTGTGCTGCTTTTGAGGATAGTATTTCGTTTGTGAGCTGCTTGGCATCTTGATAGTACTTGCTGGTGAATTGTTCAGCATCTTCATAGCTGTTATAGTTTCTTTTATTAGATTTGTCACAAGTACAATTAATGGCTCACTAACTCTTGGCATAGAATATACATTATGCTTTTACAATTTCTTCTTTTTTTTCCTTCCTGAGGGACTAATGTCATATCTTCTTAGTGATACAAAACCCTTCCTGATCTTAACCCATCACAAACAGAGCATTAGTTATGTAATCTCTAACTAGGGTCAGGGTAACAGATTTATTAACGTACCTGACTGAGAAAAATGACTGTAGTAATACGATCACTTAGCTTATTATTTTGGGGCACTAACAGTATGTTTTAAATACAAGTATCGGGAACGGCATCAGCATGTTCAGTAGATTTTTTTCTGTGTGTGTGTGTTTTTCTCTTTGCTTTGCCATTGCTTTTTTTTATAGTAAGACAATCTTCCTTTTTTTAGACAAAGCATGAAATGAAGTCACAGCATCTTCTTTGATTGAGATGGAAATTAGAGAGATCTGCCCGATCACACACATATCCACACAATTATGGTTTTATACAGATGTCCCTCGCTTTAGTGTCTAAGATTTTAGAACAAATGATGTAAGATAGATATTGTTATTCTTTGAAGGTGAAAAGGGGATACAATATTGAGGAGAGATATTGAAGAATCGAACAAATTGCACAAATTAGGAGGGAGTGAATGAATGAGTGGGAAAAAAACACTTGGCAAAAATTGAGAAAGAAGAAACAAAGAAAACAACCAACAGTGAAAGAAAAATCACTTCAAGAATGCAGCTACTACTTCTGAGTTCAAAATTCAACAGGAAAAAAAAGTATTGCAGTAGTAGGAGAAAGATGGAAGGGAAAAGAGCTTAAAAAGAGAAAAAGGGAGAATCTTTTTTTGTTTTCTCCCCTCAGCTGGTTGGTGTTCCCTGGAATGTGTTATTATCCTCTGTATTGGCCTGACTGATTTGTCCAATTTTGTTTATTGTTTCCTCTTCCCTGTGTAATGACCCCTAAGTGAGCAGAACCTGTCGAAATGCAGGTAATGAGCAACTGTGAGAGATGACAACTGCCATGGATCCAACACAGAGAGCGCTGAAAGAGAGGCTAAACACCTCCGAAGGAACCAGTCACTTGCCACTGGCATTCAGTTGTATATCAAAGATCTAGCAAGGTTCATTATATCTGGCCAGCAGCTGGTCCCAACCACAGGGTGATTCTTTCTGCATCTCATTCAGTTCAGCAGTGACCATGATGTGTGGGGTCCCATGTTTGAGGGCTGTTGTCCTCAATATCATACCAGTTCAATGATGGCAGTTCTGGGTATTATGATGATGCAGCATGAAACAGAGAATCTGTGGGTGTTTTGAAGAACAGACACAGATGGGATGCTGCAGAGAACTGGCACACAGGCTGGTGTAAAGAGTTAAATGTGTGTAGGACTGCCAGGCAATGAGAGACAAATTGAAATACTATGCTTCCTGTGAAGGAAAAGTCACATAAGCAATGTTTAATTTAAGTGCTGCTGAACTCAGCAAATAGGTGTTCTACATATCACTTTCCATGCTTCCAAATCTTTAATTCACTCATGGTTTCTGTACTCTCTTGACCTGCTGTAATAATCACTGCTTCACCTATCCAGGTGGTTAACTTGCACCATAGGGAGAAAAGCCAAGGCACAGAAGTCCCAAGCTAGCTGCTTAATACAGGACTCTGAGTATTCAGAATATTTCGGCTGCTACAGCAAATTTGCACTTGTGTTTCTAATTATTTTATTCCAGTGGGGATATGCAATGTGTCAAAGGATGAAAATATTAATAGAGACTATCATGTATCATTCTCTATAAGTAGTTCCTTTTTGCAAAGGACAAAGTTATGAACTGATAAACTGAAGGTTAGGATTAAATCAGCCATTTCTATGGAGATAACTTCAGAGAAATACAACTTCTTCCTACTGCTGATCCTACTCTAACTTGTAATGAAAGGATTAGGTGACAAGTGTCACCAGCATTATTTCTGATGCTAAGAAATTGCTAATAATGTGATAGAAGTCTGCTGTGAATATTGCATGAGGAAGGTTATCTATAGCATAGGTTGAACAGGGAACTTGCTTTTTAGTATCCTGACAGCATAATTAAAAATGCTTCTTGCTCCTTACAGTGTCAGCGCTTTGCTTCTGCTGTTAGTCAATGAGGTAGTGCAATGTGCTACACAAGTCTGTCAT